TTTCCATACGTATGTCTTTGATTCATTCCATATCATTCGTTTGCTGCATTTCACTCATGTAACATTTCAGTGAACAGTCTCTGCAGATACATGTATGTATATGAAGTTGAGGTGCATTAAAAATGCACATAATTATGGAAAGACATCTAAATGCAAAACAAGGTAGTATTCTAATGGATGATAGCTGTACCATTTTTACAGTGTAAAAGGTAGATCATAACCTTTCATTGGCATAAATTTGGACAGTTGTTTTGATTCAAGCCTTTAAATGACATTTCTCACGCTACAATGCTGTATACATGACCTTACCGCGTTTCATACTACAATGATGTATCCATCTCTTTATGCAGTTCTTCTATTCAGTAAATTCATTCTTCATTTTTTCATTTTCATGGCACGAAACACATAATGAAAGCTCCACATGCATACTACATGTATATGTCTGTAGACCATTCATTGTAGTTACTTGAACAAGGCAAATGTGATTGGTCAAAACTGAAATTAACTCATTCAGAAATTATCACATGAATTCATACATGTATATGCAAAGTTCAGTTGAAGCAAAGTAGGTTATGTCAGCAATGCACAATTACATAAGGTTTTTAACCACTTGTACTTCAAGTTATGTGGCACTTCACTCAGTGTACGTGTACTCTAAGTATTCAGTGAAAGAATTTGACACTGCAGACGACAGCCCATGTGAACTGGATATGTGAAAGATCCAAACGGATCATTATAGGGCAATATTGAATGTGTTGTTGGTCAATGTTGTCCCCAAGAAGCTCTTTATCTGATGCAGTACATTTACAATATGTGGATCTAAGCATGCATCCCTCATAAAATAATACTGCTATATATCTCAGGCAACATGAACACACTGCAAATAACCATCACCCAGAAAAACATACATTAACTACACACTATCTCTAGGGAAAATGATTCAGGGAAAAACCTTGCATAGTAATGTACAGCCCAGAATATGTAATCAATACAATCTGCCAGCCTCAGTGGCTGCACTTACATGTAGTACACTTGTTTCCTCCAAACAATTTTCAAAATTAAAGACAATCCACTGTTTAAAAAAGGACATCAAGGATGATGCATCCCCCTTTCAAACTACTTATTTCTCTAACCTGAAAAAGTCCCACAAACTTCCAAATCCTGGCTATGCCCACAAAGACACAGTTCAGAAAGGCATGGCAGATATATTTCATTCAACACACACATACGTAGAAGTATTGCTGCATTTTTAAGTGAGAATATAATTGTTGAGACAGGACATCTTTTTATTCTATACAACTCAGTCTAATGAAACAATATTGGAAAATGGATTCTGACAACCAGTTTATACAACCACGATCATAAAGAAAGTTTCTAAATCAGTTTTGTAGCCAAGTACTTTTCTGAGGCCAGCAAGTATTCTGAGAAATAAAACCAGCCAGGTTGTCTGACAGGATCCACACCCTGCTCAAAAAACTTTGCGGACTGAATACTCCAAGTTAAGATTATGTGTAGCATGAGATTCTGCTGACAAGCAGGTGTGCTGACAATGGACAAGTGTTTTTCAAAAGGATATGGATGCTAGTCCAAGTGTCAGTTCTTTTGCTAAAATTTGTACACGTTTTTCACAAAAGCACGATGTGAACATGAAATCATTCAAAAGTACCTACAGGCTTGATTCATACAGATACAATTGTACTGTAAAGTACTTACAAGGACTGAGAAGTAACTGCAACTCCACCGCAGATAACCTGAATCGCATTAGTATCAGACATTCTTATCCTAGTTTCATGGCTAATGTCTGTCCCCTGATATACCTTTAAAGAGTATTTATCATGCTGAAGTGCCTGAACATAAATCAAACATTTTGGAATAAAGATATAATGAAATGGCAGAGAACAGGGCTCATCTTTCAAGAATTCTAACACTTTACAAACACTGCAGCTGAAACCGGTTTCCCTCTCGAAACAAAATCATACAAACTGTAAATTCCTGGGGAGGTGATGTGAAGGTTTGGATTTAGTTGGCTCCAACTAACTTCTTCAGGCCTGGAGTGCTCATTGATTTGGGTCGTTCTAGGGGAAGACCCAATGCACGATCCCATATTAGAGACGCCATAGTGCCCAGTGCACGTGACACACCAAACAACACAGTGTAGTAGCTCATCTCTGTCATACCATAATGCTGTAAATACACATAAACAAATAAAAACACGTGCCGAACTATAATTTGCCACTGGGGTCTTTGTGCACATTCATGACCCAAAATTTTATCAACTATCACACTCCTAGATTTTAATTAAAAAATCTCTACTATGTAATCAAATTAAAATACTTGCAGTACCCGGCGCTTAATGAAGGGTAGCTTCAATAAAATCTTTTAATGCAAATCTCCAAAATGAACCTTGGAGTCTCATTAACCTCATTTATTTCAATATTCATGAGAACAACTGTGACGTCATCCCAGGAAAGTAATCTCAATATTGCACTGGTTTGTGCACAAAAACTACAGAAATTCTTTGAAATTTTGCCAAATATTTTTCCTCTTTGGTTATTCATTGTTGGACCAGGATACATACACAGCAATATGCAAGCAACTCTTTCCAAGGAATGTTTTAAGTAAGTTCTGGGTTCATAATGTGAATAGAAAAACCTTAGCACTTAACCACATTTTCCTGGATGACATTACAGCAACAGCACCCTCGGTTGTTCAAGAAAGCATGGACAAATTTGCAGATGTTTAACCACTTGCCGGCGGGGTTTCTGGTACCGGATACGTATTCTTTATGCGCATGGCCAGGATCTCCGAAATCGGACAAAGGGAACTGGGCCTTGTAACAAAAGACTGTACTCGTAACAAAAGACCAGGCTGCTGGGCATTAGCAACATTTTTTCACTCTCAGTAGTGGAATTATAATCCATCCTTGTTTTGAAACAGTGTACCACCGAGGACAAAAGCGCTCCACCACCGCAGCAATCAGCCACACAGCACCGCTACATGCTAATCTGGCCCGTTTTGAAAAGAGGTCAGCAGTGCACTATGCCGGTTTCATGAACAAAAGAAAATTCCGTAACACTGCAAAATCTGGGCTCTTTTTACAAGACGGAAGGCGTAGTTGAAATACTCAAGTGTCAATGTGGTTGAAACAGTGTGATTTTCAAAGCATTTAACCCAAAAAGGATGTAAAATTATTTTTATACACTGCAGAAGAGTAAAAAGGTGTAGAAGAGTATAAAGGTGTAGAAAAACTATGTCTAGAGAAATGCACTGCAACTGTAAATCACTTTTAACCACTTCATGCCAGGGCATTTTTCAATGTTGATGATGCTGGGCCAGTATGACTATCATTTTTTACGTTTTCAAAATCCTTCAAAAACTCATCATTTCATTTAACGGTCATCTATAGCCACACCAAGTAATCTTTAGTAAGTAATCTACTCTAAGCTGACAGGTGACCTTCATTGACGCCCGAGTATTTCAGCCAGGCCAGCAGCCTTTTACACAGAGCCCAGACTGTGCGGTGTTATATAACTGTCTTTTGTTCAAGAACCCAAAATTGGTGCACTGCAGACCTCTTTTCAATAGGGGCCAGATGAGCATGCAGCGGTGCTGTGTGGCTCATCGCTGTGGTGGTGGAGCGCTTTTGTCCCCAGTGGTAATCCGTTTGCTCTCAATGCCCCAAACCCTGGTATAAGGTTTCAAAACAAGGCTGGATTATCACCACTTTTGAGAGTGAAAAATGCCGGTAATGCCCGGCAGCCTGGTCTTCTGTTCGGAGTATGGTCTTTTGTTACAGGGCCCCGTTTCCTTTGTCCGAGTTGGGAGACCCCAGCCACCCATATAAACTATATGTCTCCGATCCCGGAGTCCCCGGCAGGAAGTAGTTAAGTCCACATATATGAAGTTTAAACCACTCACCTGCAAGAGCACTCCACTATGGGCGTCCACATTTGGCCATGGGTTCTTGGCTTTACCATGCTCCAGCAGGGTATCAGGAACCACTTTGTACAGCTGCGCTACCAATTTAAAGAGTGGGTCATCAGGGAGGTGTTTGAGAGCAAACTCTTGCTGACAGGTGTATCTTGGGTCTGTCTTGCGAAGTACAGCATGACCATAGCCGGGTACCACCTGCAATACACATGTACTAATAATCTGACTAGTGCCACACTATCTGCAGTGAATATTCATATACCTATTACACCTTACTTCAATCCAGTCTTTATTTTGACACCCTGTGAGATGCAGCCATATCCAACACAGACTAAATCCTCCTGACTGCAACAACCTGCAACCGTTGATTTTGTAGCACTGTGTTGAGACCAGCACCAGCCTTGGCCGGTTTACCGTGGCTAATCACGGTAAAATAGCTTAATGTACCCACCCTCCTGTCAGTAACTTCAGCCACTTATACATTGGGTTTTGTGACATTTCTCACCCTGTGTGCAATGCAACATCTCGTAAAGTTACTTGAAAACTGCTTTTGACAATTCCAGATATCAATGCCTTACCTGTCCTGATTTCAGAGTGTTCCAGATAAACTCTTTCAATTTTTCATCTGATACCTCACCTCCCAGCTCCTCTTGAAGCTTGGTAATCCACACCAGTACCTCCTGTGATCATCAAGGTACACTGACTACAGTTAGTGTAAGAACAGACAATCTCACCATAAAATGAAAAGTGTAACAAATAATAGGGCCTACAAAATGCCAGAGGAATGATTTTTATTACAGTTTATTGGAATAGCTGTGTGAGTGGATATTAAATAACTTTGTGATTAACTTGGTTTGTGGGGATATTACAACACTCATGACTACTGTGGAGTGATGTCATCTCACTTTATACTGTGACTGCTTGCCTGCTACATTTGATAAGAAGTCTGACACATCAAAGTCCAATCATGTTTATACAGAGGATTTCAATCTAAGAAGTTGGAAATTGAATGACTGTGATTAACTAAAGATAATGGAAGAAACGAGCGACCTGATTGGCTAGTCCATGCAAGGGTCCAGCCAGACCATTCATGCCGGCAGCTAAGCTAAGGTAGGCATCAGAGAGAGCACTGCCAACAAGATGAACGGTGTGAGCACTAACATTGCCTCCTTCATGGTCACTGAAATCAAAGCAATTTACAGAATACATAAACATTCTACTAGAAACACATTAATACATAAAACAACGTTCACCCAATAGTGGAAGCTGGGCTTTTTGCAGGATACGCCTTCATCAGGGCAATTAGGAATTAGTGTGCAACTGCTAGTATAAACAAACATGGGAAACTCCATGTCCATCCTTACAGGATGCAAAATACCCCATTGGAAATGGCATGATATTCCAATGACTCTATTTCCATGACGATTCTGTTGCAACCACACAAAAATTGGCCAATAGACAAGCCAGGGTTTTTTAGCTTAACGTTGTAAACATATTCAACGCATCAGTTACAAGGTTGGTACTTAACACTCCATGGTGCTGCACAGCATCCCTTTATTTTACTTTCTATGATGTATGCAGCAGCATTTCTGACCAAGTCACCTCCTGAGCCACAGGAACAATCAGGACTTATTAAAATGTACAATAGTTTGAACCACTAAGCCTCTTCCTTTAAGACGCCGCATGTCAACTTCACAATGAACATCTTGCACAGTTGGCAGCTCGCATTTGGCATGACAGTGAACTTTGGATGTCACAATAACAGTCTAGTATTCTACATAGTGATTTTGCTAAAATTGTACATATCTCAACTTACAATTTAACAAAACATGCTCTATGGTATCAAATATATGCTCATGTTCCACTTTTATTCTTAGTGTGTTAGTCCTGTATCTGCAAAATCCTTGTTGTTAATTCAAATTCAAATTAAGAAATGTTTGGTATTGTCAACAATTGGTTTCACTTTCTTCAACGACTCAGTGTGGGTAAAGCAATTTTCATTGTCTCAAACAATATCTTTTCTGTACTGAGGTATTAACCAAGAATTAAAGAAAAATACTATTGACAAGAGAGAATTATGGCCCAGAAATGCTGACATTGGATATGATATTGGATGTGAGATATGAGATAGAATTATAATGAATAAATAAAACCACAAAGGACACCTCTGAGTGGGATGTTTAACAACTCCCCCCTCCAAAAAAAAAGATATTTGATATGAAAACAAGTGGCCCAAAACTTCAAATACGTGTACACAGAAAAACTTAAGTTTCTTTTCATTGTCAATTGCATTGGGCAAAACTGGTGAATGTACCTGTGAATGGTGAGATAGAGCCTCATGAGTTCCTTGAACATCTCATCTTCATAACCAAGCATCATGGCAAAGTTACCAGACCAGTCAAGGTCCACATCAATGGGGCACACACTGCTACCTTCTCTATACACATTACGGTAGATGGTGGCTGCTACAGTAGTTATCTTGGCACAAAGATCCATGGCATCTTCATATACATACTACAGACAGACCAAGTCAAATAGAAATAAGTTTCAGAAACTAGTATGAAAATCCTTCCAATTTTATTTTAAAACTATGCCATTCTTAGAAGAAGCTTCCAAGTGACAGGTGTTTGAACATCGAAAGTGTCCAGACTTTTTCATATAGCAATATCATGGCATCCTCATATCTATCAACAAACTTGTGCTTGATGTCAACAAAGAAGTCATTTGTAAGCTCTATGTTCCACTGTGAATCACCTTTTATCTCCTCAAACAACATCGTGCCCTTTACTGACTTCTTGACAAACCTTAATTAGGCCTACTGCACATATATATTCCAGGCTGAGTGAACCTGCACATTTACCTCCCAGTACAAAGCCTTATTGACTCCATCATTGTAGGCCTTAGCAAACTTGCTATCACTGTTCATAGCAGTAATGGCTGCACTAAACTGTGACATGGGATGCAAGGTGCTTGGGAAGTTATTCAGCATCTGAACCACATGAGAAGGAATAGCACCACGAGCTGCCCACTCCTTCGACACTGCTTGCACCTGCCACAAAATAACAAGACATTCAGTCAACAATATCGATTTTCTTCAGAAATGTGATCCATAATTGACTTACTGGCCGATAATGAGCTGCACACCATCACTTGTACAGATGATGATGATACAGTGAAGGTATCATCGTCGTCATCGTCATCATTATTCTGCACATGACCATCAAGAGGGTCGTAGTGACCTCCAGGTACCCCTGGCAAGAGCAACATTTAGAAACAGCTGCACAGCATCGGCAACCTGCTTAAGCCAAGTGAGAAGGGGATGGCCGCAGGGCCTCCTCCAGATGGCAGGTCGCTGACCAAGATAAAATTGGATAGCCGTGTCGAAGGCAAGACGAGCAAGAGCTGGGGCTTTGAGGCAACAAACAGTCAAGTCTAATTCTTGATTTGTATTATCAAGAGAAGTACCCTTGCAAAGTGTCACTTTCTTCAACCCAACTCCCTGTGTATCTTTCCTTGCCACCTTTCCAAAGCCTTTAAAATCTTCCACTGTGCAAGATCGTAATGGGACATTCTTGCATCTCAATTTCCGAAGGGCATTAAGATCCACCAACGGAACAGTCTAGAGGCTTTGCAAATACCTTCCTCAAATTGACAAATCCTCCTAAACCTCCTTCTGAACTGTTAAGGATCTAACAGGGTTGAATTTAATATTAACACCCAATCCATGTAAGTTCATGTCTATGATTAAACAAAAGGCATAGATTTAAGGACATAGGGCCACAAACAACTGCCTGTGTTACCTCTGTAAACAATCTAGGCCTTACATGTACATACATATGTGGTTTTTCTTTTTTTTACCCCGCTTCATGGGTACACAAATAACACTTGGCTGCAAGTTTGTTCAAGCCATCAAAAGCGTAAGCTGCATTACATGTACCTGTTTCTCTGTTGGTATTTTACCGGTCACCAGCAGCCAGAACAGTCCCTCTGGTAAAGGTTCCTCACCGCCTGGTGCCTTGGGTAATTTTTCCTGGCATTCGGGAATTGTAAAACCTCGGAAGCGAATTCCCTCTTCTGGATCTAACACGGAAGTCTCCGTCACCAGACCTTTGATGCCACGCATGCCTCCATACAGCTATAGTGAAACATGTTCCATATTGATGTATGTAAATCGCCACATTGATGAATACCATGTTCTAATTATCTGAGTTCAATGAGAAGGTGATACAGCATGAGACCAGTTGGTCAACTTCTTGTATTCATACATACCTGTACTTTAAGGTACCGTATATTGTTGTAGAGACTACACAAGTGTTGCAGGATTTTTATGGGGACATACATGTATTTCTGTCCAACAGGGTCCAATCCCATTGGTACACATTTCTAACTTGTCTAGAATGCTGACTTCTCCTTTAGTGAGCACAACTACAGTAGTTATGCTTGTATTGTTTATTTTCTCTTTATTCTACGAGGCGCTAAGTGTAAAAATACATTTAACCAAAGTATTTATATATACTTCTTTTTTGGTGCTGATTGGATAGGGATAAAAGTTACCTAAAAACTAAAACAAAAAAGTGATAAAAAGTTTACTAATCAATGTAAAAATATCACCAGGTGACAATTCTTAAGAATTATGGACAATTCACACCACTACGCACAATACTACGGTAATCAGGAGATCAAGACAAGAAACTGGCCAACAATGTCCGTACACTGTGTGGTTAGCGTACATGTACATGATGCACCAGAGGGGCAGGCAATAAACTTTGTGCTGTGGCAGGAAATTTTGTGGAAACACGCTTGCTTCAAGTACAAGCAATAAAACTTCAAATTAAATTCTTGCACACTGAAAATACAAACACAGACAAGAGAACAAGTTCTGCGAATTAACTTGCAGAAATCTTCAACATCAATGTTTTTTAATGTGCAGCTGTAGAGTTGTGTGCATGAACAGTATAGTGTTAACCCACACCATTTCGGCTGGGCTGCAGAGACGAGATAATGCATTTCAACCGGGCCTTCTTTGGCAATGGCACAGCGTGGTGGGAACTAGTGCAGCATTGCTTCAATGCATTATTGCATTATCAAGCACATGTTTTCACCACCGCGACAGGGAATGTGTGATAACAATGGAACTTTCTTTTCAAAAGTTTTCAATGCAAGTAGGCAAACACATAAATTCAAGCATTTTAAGATGAAAAAAGTTGTTGAGAGGTGTTGTGGGAGCAAAAAACCAACAGTCTCTTTTTTTTTTACTTTGTTTTTCAAACTTGACCATACAAATTTTAGGGTCACACCAAAAAATTAGTCTCAGTCAGGAAACCAGAAGTATAACCCTTTTTTGGGCGGGGGCCTAATATATACATGTAAATGATTATTTAAATATGGACTTTGTCTCAGAAAATTGTAAATAAATATGGCACTGTATCATTTATGAATATTTCTGAATGCCATCTCATACTTATAAATAATAACATCTCCAACTTCATAATTTAGCAATTATGAACGCTATCTCTATAAACGTTATTGACAAATGAATTATTGACAAATGGTTTTCGAACATCGTCTCATTATTTATAGTTTTAATTGCACTAATAACCTAGATCCAACAACCACCAGGTTGAGAGGTGGCACACTGTCTTGTCTACACGTACATCAGCACATGGATGCTGATTGGCATGTGCTTCATAAAATGGACCAAAATGCAACTTGTGTCATTTTTCAAAACTTCTAAAAGACTTTGATCATCTAAAATACAAATTAGCACCTTTAGATTTATAAAAATAATTTTTGGGGGATAATTAGGCATACTTTGTACATTTGTTGGACATTTGGTTGGCTAACAGAGCAAATCAAATGGAGTTGAATTCATTTAAAGTTTTGCTTTAAAGTGTTTGCACCAGATGACTTGATTTCAAAACCTTTCTCAACAACAAGGAGAATTCAGTATATTTTTTGACTGATGTATTTTAAAGAACCTAAGAAATAACTTTAAAAAAAATAAGCCATGAAAAAAGAGCACAAATTTGACGGAAAATGATGAGAAAAGTTTAGCTCTCTTCATTCTCTCACCGTTTACAATCACTCTCACTATACCAACATATCTGCCAGGTCTTACACCTTTCAACCACCGAAAATAATATTTAAATTTGGCTGAATAAAAAATGCATACTGAGTACAATATGCTTGTTGCGAACGTCATATTTGACGGAATTTTGATGATGCTTGAGAATTTTGACTAAAAAGGCATGACACTCGAGAATGCCGAAAACACTGTCACATGTAGTGCTCGAAAATTCCATGCGTGCTGTTCATTTTGCCACTTAATTTGCAGATATCACGGCTGAAAATTAAATTAAAATTAACAACTCTGCCCATTAGAGTTTCATCATGAGTTGTATTTTATGTCTCGGATGTCATTTTTTTTAACGTCACTCAGTATGACAGATTTTCTTTCGAGCAACCTTGGTACAAAGAGAAAAATCGCGGAGTGTCGCCATTCCCTAGAGGGACTCGTAAATATCAAATGAAAAAGATGGTGCATTATCTGAGTGATGTCAAAGGTCAAACAGCCCTCGATGCAGAAAACGTTTCTCTAATGTCACCATGAGATAATGACGGAAGCCACAAAATCACCATGATCAGTATTTTGGACTGCAGTTTTCCGAAACGTATTTGAAGAAAATGCAATTGGTCCAGTCGTAAAAGGATTAATGGGGGATGCTTTTTGGCACTTTTTTTAAAGCTTGTGTTATACATAGATTTTGATTTTACTCGCTGTTTTTTTGCAGTCAAAATGAATAATGTTCGTGACTGCCAACTTCCGGACCTGATTAATTGTGAAAGGTATTTTTTAATTTTGTGATTATGGTTTTAATATGTGTAAATATTATCACCTTTCACCGTGTATAAATCTGTGTAAAATGACCACAGGGATTATCACTCCCCAGTAAATTTCATTGGCTAGGATTTTAACAGGTTGTTCATAAGTGCGGATGTTCGAGACTTTAATTGATTATCTCCAATTAAGTTGAAAAATGGGCACAGCCATTGTTGTTCCAGATACAACCATGACTTCCCTCATTTCATCAGACATTGGGAATCAATTCACTGCTCTTCACTTCAGGAAAAATGAACGCCCAAAGTTGAATGAGGAACCAGCCCTACTGCTTACTGTGTAAACTATTTGTAGAAACTAGACAGTGTGTACATATACTGTACCTGTACCTACGCTGTAAAATGTACACGGGCAAGAGCACAATGGGGTCAACTGCCTGCAATGCAGGTTAAAAATATCATTTCTTGCCAAAAATAGTCATATCACAAAAGAAACCTTGATACAATTGTCAGCAGTATAGATTCCTAACAGTCCCAAATTTTCTGATTTCAATATAATTTAACATGCACCCAAAGGGGGCTAAGGATTAATTAATGCCTGAAAATTTCTTGACACATTAAAACTTTTTAAAAAATCTCTAAAACACACAGACATTGAGATGAAAAAGTAACCACTACCCTTCCCCCCCCCAAAAAAAGACACTGAAAAATTAAATAACACTGTCACTGACAACCATATTTATTTCAATGGACAGTTACAGTGACCAGTAATGAAATAAGTTAAAAACCTGGAAAGTGATCTCTGAGGAAATGAACTAGAATCCAAAGGGGAATAACATGGATCCATCCACAAACAGGTTGAGATGCCGCAAAATGCTATTCAAGATTTAAAAGCTACCGGTATCTTAATCAAATATGATGTACACGTAATGCATCTACTCACCTGGTCTACAACAATCTCCCCAATCACCTTATTGCCATAGCTTTTCCGGAATTCTACCACCTCCTTCTGTTTTTGAGGTATCAAGTCAGCCAGTACATCCTTCAAATTCTGTTGGAATTGGGAAGAAACTCAACAGTCACTAGCTTTGAATTACACAACAGATGTTGTGGAATGTTTTGCTTGGAGAAACTGAAATTGTGAAATCTGGCATGCCAGAGCTCATACACAGGACTTCACTGTTCTGAAATGAATGTCTTTGCTTGTTTATGGGTTGAAGACTCCTTGAGGTTGATGTATGTCGTGGTTGAGGGTCCACCTTACAACTGAGGGGCTAGATTAATTCCCTTACATGAAGATGCAGTTTCCAAAGACCAAAATACCTGTACATGTAGTTGTAAGTCTGTTTTCAATGCCTTTTCACATACATGTACCTTGTAGTAATGCTTACATACATGTGTAAAATTTGTTGAGTTTTTTCTTACAATTCTTAATGCACCGGTTCAGTCAGGATTTTAGAATTGAAAACCTTTAGCCTGGCCTTTAGGTTACAGTTTTCACATTTCCATTTTTGGTGGATGCCAGTCACTCTTGTCCTTCATGTACATGTAGCTGGAGGCAGTTTTTGCGTCATATTCTGTTTTTCTTTTCATGCGTGTACACATAAGCCACCTACATGTAAATAGTAATAATCGTAGTACTGTCTGACTTAAAGTCTGCACAAGGATGAATACCTATGGTGTGTACAGTACATGTAATGTGTACAATGGTGCTTCCAAAACCTCTCCAGCATATTACCTCTTTTGCATCCAATCGCTACTCTGTATCTCATGTGACCCTGCTTCCTGTCTGTTAGTGGGCTACTATAAGTACTGTATGAAGGTACACTGGGAAATTGATTTGCAACTCATCTTGTAGTAGTTAAATGTTCGTAATATAAACCAAGACAATTTACTATTAATACTAAGACTCTGCAAGGTATTACCTACATGTACCGTATGTCCAGCATGTTACATAACAGGGACACAAGTACATGTACATGTATGTCACAAATTTGTGTCCACATTATGTACATGTAGGTATAAAATTGTGGTGTAAAAACAAAGAAAACATGTGCTTAATGTCTGTTGACAACCTACATGTACATGTATAGATAAATGGGATGATATTTGGGTAAATTCGTGCACATTATAAATGAAAGTATTCTGTTAATTTATGATGAAAATTCTGTCCATGTTACATACTAAGTAATACATGTACATACCTTCAGTTACATGTATATGTATCTGTGTTTTCGGAGTACAGAGAGAATCTTCGATAATGAACAGGAAAAATATCTTGCCTCGCTGTAACCTCCAGTGACCCCCTTTCAAAGCCTAAATTTACTATCACTTGTACCCCATTAGTGTAGAAGTGCCCTTTTGTATTGTAGTCATTGCTGTACATTTCCATGCAATTAAGTCATAATTGGCTTCTATGTGCATGATGGAATAAATCAACCATACAATCATGAATACATTTCCTACACAAACATGTTACATGTACATGTAACATGTACATGTGTATTTCACCTGATTAAGTGCCTGCCGAGGTGACAAAAAAATACTTCTTAGAAGAGGCAATATAAAGATGTATTTTCTTATTCAAATTCAATTTTGCTTATTTCATGATGAAGTTGAATATTACTACTGTGCACAGGCCCAAATGAATAGAATGTGCCTGTTTTATACTGTGGGTTATGTTGGTAGGTTATGTAAGGACATATACTGTACATGTATGCAAGATGTTAAAGTACAGAGCACTTACCGTTGAATCTGAGACACTCCTTGTACCACACGTTAGTGACGGTAGCAGATTCTAGGGGAGAGAAGAGTACTAATATGTTTTAATGGCTGAATTGAATGAGATGTTGCCAGGTAGGCAAGGTGTATAGCCAGAGAGGCTCAAGTGGTCCATGTTACAGGTACATGTACACGTAAGTACAGCATTTGAAAACTCTCACAACGTACACTGTAGTCAGACCATGTGGTTGTCGTTTCACAACAGAGTAGTCTAGCAGAAATTTAAGTTCAAGTGATGTGTAGTAATATTTGTCTAAATTTTGCACATCTTACCAAACAACTGTCTTCTTCAACATTTTGACAATAACTTCTGAGATGAAGACTAACATTTCAGGCACATGGTCAAACTGCTACAATGCATGTGTGCTTCTAAGATCATACTTTTTTCTCATTTTTTTTGAAATTACATGTACATTGTACATGTAGAGCTAAATAGGCAGATTTTTTAGTTGTTCGAAATCCGAAATTCTGGAAATCCCTTGATTTAAATGTTTAGAAGCACTGTGCATGTCAGTACAGATTTTAAAATACACAGTGGCATGAATACCGGTACATGTAAAAATATAATTAAATATTTAATATAATTGTATAAATATTTTACACAATGTAACACGATTCAGAAGGTGTCCGGTCATGTCATATTTTGAAGTGTACACGGCTGTGATAGAAAATATGTTGCATATGCTAATCAACCACCTACAGTAGCTACTAATAACTGAATACATACATAATGTACATGTACACTGTATTTGAAACTGCCTTTGAATATTTAAAACTCACTAGACACAGTTCACCCGTGTCAGCTATAGTTACTTACTGTGCCATACATACCGGTATGTACATGTAGTACTTACAACAATTTGCATACATATAAGACTTAAAGGTTTTCATGGTGAAAGAAACTAGATTTATTGTAAAGATCGCGGTAACACCATGTATTCACAATGGTCTACAGGAGACCAGAGTACACTGTTCGAAACGTCGAGTTATTCCCCGGTTCTTCTCAGAACCACACATACTCAAAGAAGAGATAAATGCATGGTGTTACCGCGATCTTTACTATAAATCTAATTTGCATACAGTTACCAACATTCAAGACCACTGACTACTGTGCATGCCTGATGTACCAATTGGACATTTTTACATAGTGGTAATTAATCATTTTCCACATGCAAAGTGCAATCAGTCCTCATATCTTGGGCATATGCTCTTGACTGTTAGAGGGCCCCTGACAAAATTTAAATGTTTGAATTATTAATTTGAACCAATCACTGGGTTGGACAAAAAGAACAATATTTCCCCAGCCTTTTAAACAGCTGTCTTTCCTGTAACTGAATTTTATACATGTACTAGTTACAGGCTGGTCCAAACAAGAACTACATGAATAACAAACTGTAACCTTGTGCAAATGTCTCTGTATTTAAGTGAGTCTCCAAACTAGCACAAAACTGTTTGAATTTTTAGTCAATGGTAGAATATTCAGCCATTTTAATTTGATATTTTTGAGACATTTCACCCCTCAGGAGAATTTAATTATTATTCATTCAACATCTGCAGCAGACCTTTATAAATACATGTAATATCCAACCTCCATAAGGCAAAATATTCCCTTTAGGAAAGAAGTTAATGCAAGGATGTCACTGATGCTTCCCTGCAGTAGCATATCAGCCATTAAAAGGGATAACATGTCCTAAAAGATCAAATGTAGCTGAGGAAAAATTGAAACATTAACTACATGAATGTTAAGTAATAACATTTCCTGTAGACATTATTATTGACAGTGTAATTTCCATCTACACACCATCAACATGTACAGTATTATCAACACACTGTCGTAAGGTTTTACTGTAAATTAACAGAGGCAATTTTTGACCGTCAATTATATGTGTAAGCACAAAATGACTTTTTGGCTGAACAACAGAAAGCTAGATGTTTGAAAATTGCCATTTTAGTTCATAAAAATCAGCAGCCATGTTTCCTCTGGGGGCAGTGCAGACCATACTGTTACATTAAAGGGTGATAACATTAAACAAAACAAAAACTGACGGCGGTGGTGACAACTGTTGCGTTGATTTGGGATAAAGCAGACTTTTTTTTTTATTTGGAGCGCATCATTTTAACCCTATCATCTGCAGCAAAGTCGCCAACTGTTGTCTATGGCATGTTAATTGCATTAATTGCACACCCATAACTGAGTAGCACAGTGCAAGCTTCGTAACAAGGCAAAATGGCCGCTAATGGCTATGCTGCTAAAAGTTAGCGACCATCTTTTACTGGCATTATGAAAAAAGGACTACAAGTGCAATGTAACCTCAAATCAATGGATATTGTCTTTTAAGTCCATACATTACAGCTCTATGTCACTTTCATTTATTTAGAACATATTTTGGAGGTGTTGAAAGTGTATTGACAGTACTATCGTTTGTTGACACAATAGTTTGACAGATACTCTGTTACTCTGATAGGCCCTACTAGTGAATCATGATCAACTAGCATGACTAGGCCTACCAAGACTAATCATGCAGGTCCGCAAATAGTGTCTAACAGTGCCATGAACTGGTGATAGGCCTGCTTTCTTGACCACTTGCTGCCGGGGAACCTTGTTTCGAGCACCATGGGTTTATATGCAGAGCCAAGGTGCCCAAAATGGGATAAAAGAGCTAGTCCGTGTAACAAAAGACTGCACTCAAAACAAAAGACCTGCTGCTGGGAACCGCCATCATTTTTCGAAAGTAATCCGTCTCTGTTTTTAAACAGTATACCACTGTTTGGGGCATATTTTGGGCGGATTAGCACCACGCACAAAAGTGCTCCAGGGCCCCATTGATGAGCAACACAGCACCGCTGCATGCTAATCCAGCCGCATTTGAAAAGATGCCATTCACATTCGGTGGGGACAAAGGAAATTATGCAACACCTCACAATTCTGGGCTCTCTTTACAGGGCGGCAGGCCTGACTGAAATACTCAGGAGTCAATGAAGGTTGCCTGTCAGCTTAGAGTAGTCACCAAACAGTTATTCGTGTGGGTGTAAACTTCCATTTAATAAAATAATTAATTTTTAAAGAATTTTGAAAAATGAAAATCTTGAAAATCTACCGTATGGGTGCACTGGATTTTTTAAAAGCACCCAGCAGCAAATGGTTAAAACCAGAAGTTATGAAGTAGTTGATAGGGCCTTGACTGCTGGAGCGTTTTGGGGAGTGTGGATTTTGGGAACCCTTGTTTTAACAAGTAGTTACTTTTAAATAAACGTCGGCCCTGAAAAAGAGTCTTACTCGGGCAATGTCTCTTGATTTTCATGACCCTATTTGGTTTACATTTAGAAGAGTAAATCAGGAGAAAACTGTGGCTTTCTAACCTTATGTCCATCAACATAAATGCACCTGTGTAGTCAACTTGACACAGGCACATGGCAGAGTGTATGAGCTTTAGCTTTTCTAACCAATACTCTCACTCCCTAATTTGTTTTTTGACCAATCAGAGATTGGCTTTCTTATGACACTTTTGAGTAACCAATTAGAGACACTCTACCGAGCAGGTTTGACATTATCACCATGTGGATGAGTGCGTGCACGGTCTGGTTGTTATCTTCAATATTCTTACTCCCTAGTCGGCTCATCGCAACCAATCAGAGATCAGCTTTCTAATTAAACTTTTCAGTTAATAATCTGAGACATTCTACCAAGCACATTTCACATTTCCTTGCTCCGTCATCACATCTTCAATCTGCACATCATGCATATGGCTGGTGGCCGGTCTTCTGCTACATATAGCTGCGTCTACATACATGTAGGCCTGTGCGTGCTAACTTGCTCTGGGTAATCCGCCTCAAGCAAAAGCACCCCCCTCATCAGATGAAAAGAGCCACGTTGGTTGGGAATGTTTGATTTCTTGGTAACGATGCAGCTGTGACGTGACACATGCATTTCCTAGTCATTCGTGAACCTGTGAAGTTCAGTTCTGACCAAAGGAGACTCCGTTGCTATCCCCAGAACTGTGGGGTCCAACATCCACCCCACCAGCAGAGCGGACATCGGATCCCACAGTTCTAGGGTACACCTAGGCTACTTTCTGAACAGTAGCCTAGTAGGGAAGCAGGAGGCGGCAATGTCAGGGTGCGCAGTTTGAAATAGTGTTTTGAAAGTGGCGGTACTGCAAATTTGTGCCGGGAACAGGAGTTTCTGATAATTGTGGGAGGAGGGGCATTTCAAAAGTGAAGGGGGAGAAGGCTGACACGAGATCACAGTATGTGGACCAATTTCATCACACAGATGTACATCTGTTATGTTTTACATTCTTGCCTGATCCAATGTCCGAAGGGCTATGATTTTGTTATTACTGTGGTCCCTTTTAAGAAATGGTGAATGAATTTCATTTACATGTATGTCAAGATCCACAATTTCCTTGGAAATTTCCTGACATTGCTGCCGCCCCCTGCTTCCAAAATAGTCAAGCCGATATGTGATTAGTATGGTTCCCTGACCACAGATTTCCCAGATGTCTCTGTACATAATCCCAACGAGAGTAGTTGGAATTATAGGGACTGCTATCCAAAGCAACATAAACATTCATTACTCGAATACCCTGTGCCTGTTTTTGTCACGTGACGTACGGCCACAGAGAATGCAGATGTGTGCTGATCGAAGGATGAGAGGTGAGGATGGTAGAAAAAAACTCACTTTTTGCCAATAATATCTAGGTTAAATGCTACAAAACATTACTACTGCCTAATGGCAATGCCCGGTAGTTCCACTGGTTAGTTATTATTATAGGGTCTTTTGTAGAAGATTTGCTTCAGAAAGTGCAAATGGAGGTTTCTCTGGTACGATTGAAGGGCACTTTCAAAATGCCATAGCATTCCTGACAAAAAACAAAATACTGTTCAAGAATGATGTAGGCTTAGGCCTAAGAAAATGACATCCTCTTGGTCCAGCTGGAGGCCCATTGGATCCTACAAATCGCCTCTTTTAACATTTGGAAATGGTCGGGCGATTGCCTTTAATGATTTTTGGATATGGTTGAGCGATAATCAAACAGGCGAATCCTCACTCCTAAGATAGTCAAGCTCACGCGTGCTCCAATTATGTAGG